CAAGAACAAGTCAAGTAACATCTTTAATACCAATGGCAAGAAAGTTTTTAAAGGAAAAAAAATTAATAGTGAAGTACATGAAGGTTTTTTTTATCTTTTAAGTAAGAGTTATATAGAGATTTTTAATAACAGAAGGGCTTATTTTCACCTTTTAGTCACTTGTGAATCTCTTAAAGCTATCGTTTTCATGATTTTCTAGGAAATTTTGCCTACCTCAGTTTGATCCTGAATTTTAGATAATACAAATTCTCACCAAAGGTAATTGGCTGACATGAAACATGTTGGTTTCAGGAAAAATAAACAAACTCTTATTGGTCATACTCATATGTTCCTATTATATTATAGGTGATATAGGAAAGAAAGTTCTAGAAGAAGTTTTCCTCCAACCATGTATATACAATTCTAAGAAACAGTTATGATATCAAAATGTAAGGTGGATCTGCACAAAAAAATTATATCCCTTCTCTAAGTTTCTTAAATAGTGAAAAGGCTTTCTAAGATGAAAGCTAAGATCTTTTAGTTTCTCTTAGATTATTTCAATCAAATACATGCTTAAATGAAAACTCATATAATGCTATAGGTAGTAACAAAGAAGACTCCATCTGAGATCCAAATGAAGTAAAAAAGAATATTTCAATCAGACAAGACTTTTTTTAAAAAGAGGCTGTGAAATAGAGCAAGAATCTTTGGATTTAAATTATTTTTATTTTCCCTTTTTCCAATTTCAACTTCAGCAATTCATTATTTTTTGAAATAATTAATAGTGATAAACTATTGACAATAACCTGGATTGACTTAGAGATACTATATTAAACTACTTGGAGAGTATAATATTGTTTTCTAAATCTGACTTAGAGTACCTAGTTGAGATTTAGTTTTGTTTAATCTGAACTAGTTTAGTGGATACATCATATTTTTAAATAATATAATCCTTCAACTAATAATGTATAAAGATAAGTTGGTTATTATATGAGAAAATCTGTGAATTATTTTGATATTTTTTTCAAATATCTTAATAAAGACAAGCTATTTCATCATAATTGTAGGTTAATAAAAAAAAATAAATAGTAATTTTGTATTCCTTTATAATAATTAATAATTTATAATAGATCTTAAATTTTTATATGGTTTATATTTTGTTAATAAGATATTTTTAATAATAATATTTAATTAAAAAAATTTTATTGATAATTGATTTTTGTTATTCAAAAAATCTAATTTTTCAATATTTCTTTAACCTTATAATAATATAATAATTTTTAATTTGATAAATAATAATAATATTTTTATTTATTATAATATTCTGATATAATTGAATTAATTACTATATATTAGGACTATTATAGATAGTTTATTATTATTAATTGATCTGAAAACCAGTAAATTGTTAAATTAAAAGAAAAAAGAAAATTTATAATTAAAAAAAAAAATTAAAAGTTCCATCAAAAAAATTCAAAAACAAAGTTATTTTCCTTTCAAAAAGATTATTTTATTAGATATTTTTATTGCTTTATTTGAATCTTGAAAGAAATATTTTTTATTATTATCTGTAATATTTAAAAAATTAATTTAACTAGTTTTTTATTTAAATAAACACTGAATTGAAATATCTTAAGAAAAATATTCAGATTATAGCTTATTTATTAAAGCTTTATTATAATTTAAAGAACTTAAAAAAGAAATAAAAATTTACAATTTATATTATCTATCTTTATTCTTTTGATATTATAAATATTTTTCTTAATGAACTTGAGTTTCTAAAGAGTAATTATTTTTATAACATTCTTTTCAATTATCAATAATATCATTGAAGCATACAAATATAACTAATAGGATTTAGTTTATATTTTAAAAATCAATATATTTTATATTAGTCAATTATTTTTTATAAGAATTTGTACTATCCAAAATTTAGAATCAAATTGTTTTTTTTTTTAACCTACAGTCCATTTTTTTAGAATCAAATTGTGATAGGTAAAATTTTTTAGAAAATCATAAAAATGAAGGTTTTAAGAGAACTAAAATAGTTCAAAGAGAGAAAATGAATCTTTTTATTATACAAACCTTTATAAATCTTTTATTTCAAAGGTTAAAAAGATTTTAGAGTATATTATAATTAGGTTTTCTTTTTTTAATAACTTTCTTGTCATTTGTATTAAAGGTATTAGTTGTTTTTCTTAACTACTAAAAGTCAAGTTTTTAGATAAAGAGATTTGTAAATAATAAGAGAAGAATATAAATGATTCTTAAAGTTAAATTTCAAGTTATTTTAAGAAATATATTAAGATTTTATTAGCAAAGAAGTAAAAACACTTTTTATAAATATTTTTTTTATAAATAATTATGATGTTTTTTACTATATTATTAATAAAATTTAAATGTTTTTTAGATTTTATGAGTAAACTTGAACTGATTTATCAGTTTAAGTTATTGCTTGTAAAATTTTTTAATATCTAAAAAAATATAACTTGTACTAGTCTGATTGAAAACTTTGCAAGATTAATATTAAGCTTTTAAGAACTTATTATAATTCAATTTTTTCTTTTTATTTTGTTAGTAATTTTGACTATTTACCTTCTTTTATACTTTTGTTAAGTATTTTGATATTTGTTTTTTATAGTCTTTATTAAAAGTAGTTTTTTTCTTGTATTTTGAATGGCTTCTTTTTTTTTTCAAAAAATTATCAAAAAAAAAAAAATTTCTGAAAAAAATAAAAAATAGCAAAAAGAATTATTTCTTTAATTATTTCTATATATTTATTTATATGTTTATCTATTTATTTATCTATTGACCTATTCATACAATTTATTTTCTTATTCATATATTCTCTTATTTATCTATTTATCCACTTATTATATATTCATTAATTTATCTGCTTATTTATTCACCCTTCTATTCACATATCTATCTATCTATCTATCCACATCTTTATTTATCTTTCCATCTATTCATTTGTCTATCCATCGTCTATCTATTCATTTATTTACTATCATACCAATTTATTTATCAATTCATTTATACGTTTATCTATTTTTTTTGTCTTTACGCCTATGTCTATTCACTTGCCTACCCACCCATTCATTTACTTATTCATTTATCTACCTACCTATTTGCTCATTTATCTACTTACCTGTTTGCTCATTTATCTACTTATCCCAACCATTCGCTTATCCACTTACCCCGACCACTTACCCCGACCATTCGCTTATCCACTTACTCATCCATTAATTTATTTATTATTTTATTCACCCATCTATTCGTTCAATTATTTATTATTTTATGTGTTTATCTATCATCCCACCTATTCTATTAATTCGTTTATCTACCCATATTTACTTATTCACTTTCTTATCTATCCGACTGTTAGTTTATTTATTTACTTATCTGTTCGTTTACTTATAATTCACTTATCCACTTACTTATCCGCCTATTTATTAATTCACTTATCTATCCACCCACTTATCCACCACTCATTTATTCATTTAATTATTTGGATAGATTTTTAATTAAAATCGAGTCAAGTCGATCAATTGCGCTATTAGTTTTTAATATTATACAGTGTGATAAAAAAGAATTGGAATTTGTTTCACAAAAACCTTTATAAGTCGCGTAATTACAAAATTTTTTTTTGTACAATAGGGAAATCATGGGATGCGTGTTACGTGGGCAGTCAACGTTTTCTCAAAATTTAGCTCGTTTTGCGGGAGGGGTCTCGGGAATATCGGTCGAGAGAAAAAATCATCAATGTAAGATTCTATTACAATTGTGGGATGACGGTGTACATGACAAAAAAAATTCATTCACTCTTAAAGTTTAAGACTGATATTTTCAATTAAAAAAATTTTAATAAGCTATACAGTCCCGTTATTTTCTATAGCTCACAATGTCTCCTTATCGACCAAATCAATTAGAACAGATTTTTTTATTTTTCCTCATTCCTCGCCCATTCCTCATTTAGATTTTTGGCATACGTTTTTCCACGTTACCCTTGACTATACTCCATAAATTTTTGATCGGATTCAAGTCAGGGCCAATTTAAAACATCTGACATATTTTCCATGATAAAGACCTTTGCCAAGTGACTTGTGTGCTTCGGGTCTGGAAGCGCTATTCATCACAAAGTATCCTTTTGATTTCCGAAACACGTTCATTTAGAACTTGTACATCCACGATCTGCTGAAAGAGAAATAGATTAGTTTTCCCTATAATACAAAATTCTTCTTAAGCGAGAATTTTTACCTGGCTTTAGGCATATAACAAATCGATCGTGCGTTCTTATGCTAATATCTCACAGTATTTCGGTAGAGTTTAAATCCTGTTATATCGAAAAAAAAGGTTTGTTCTCATGTGTTGTTAAGATGATTTTTGTTGGTTTTGTTTTTGCTTTTCAGTAAGTATAGGAGTAACCCGTGGAAGACTTTTTGTATACCCGATCTTTTTCAAATGTCTTCCAATAGTATGAACGTGATACCTATATACATTTTTCTAATAGTTTGGGCGCAAATCTTTTGTTGATAAAGAAGTGCCCCTACGAATGCATTGCCCCGAAGAAGCCCCGTCGATCGATCTTGGCCACCCGAATGCTCAATAGATCTCATTTTTTTAAACTTTTTAGTTATTATAGTTTTAGCATATATTATATAGTCATAAATTTGACTTGTTACAAAAATAACTAAAAATTTTCGGATTGCGCTAAAGGTTTTTCGAAAACTAATTACTAATTAATGTACTAATTATAGAAACTTTGTAATATTTGCATTAAAAATTTAAAATTGATTATATCAAAGTTCACTCCATATTTTTTAAGTAGTGTAGTTCTTTAACGAAAAATGTACAAAGACGAGTTGGTAATCATTGAAAGACACGCCATGACGGAAAACATTATAAATGCATCATTTTTATTTATAAAGCAAGGAAAACTTTTTTTACGAAAATTTCAAAACGTGCTTGACAAAAACCTGTCCCGTCTGTTAACTATATAGTATATTGATAGTTTTGAAATGTCGAGATATGAATTTATGACTTCTGGTGACCCAAGGCAACCCGGTGAAAGTAAATGGAAGTATCATATTCGCAAGCTGTTTACGAGAAAGACCCTAACAAGTCTAGATGAAGATAGACAAAATTCTACGCTTGCCAAGACCTTAAGTGTGTATGATCTAATAATGATTAGCTTGGGTTCGATAATTGG